CCAGTGGTTTCCTCGTGATGCGGTAACAGACAGACAGACAGACAAAAATTCTAAAAACTATAGATTCGGACTCTGTAACGATAATAATGTCTATTTCAATTAGATTTTCCAAAAAATATTTAATGTACAGATTCGACTTAGTTACAATTTCATTATATGTATATATATAGATTTAAATACTCAATATAGATCATTCGATAGATAAGTATTTTTGTAAACATTTTGTTTTATTATTAAAAATACATGTTTATAAATTAGAAAAGATTTGTTAATAAAAATAATATCAACCCTACTTATTATAAGGGTTGGGATGAATTATACCGACTTCAATAGAACATTTCTGTGTGAACCTTGTGTCGGAATATACAATAATAGCTCATATTCAATTGTAATATGGATCAAAATCTTAAAAATAGTAGAGAAAGATAACATAATATTAAACTTGGCTGACCATAGTTACGTTATATGGGAAGTACTGTACACTGGTAATATCACTAAGAGGAAATACATCACAAGTTTATGCCTAGTGATAATTTACAACTTTATTTATATTGCGATAAGAGTCATTTGCTTATAATCATTTACAGTGATATATATTTCATTTAATATGTTAGATATATCACTGTTGAATATCAATGATATGATATCTATCATATATATGGAATTATTGAGTATAATTCAGAAATTGGTTTGCACTTGATGACGTGATAATGAAGATTTATATAACTGTCAACATTTGTGAATTATGAACAAGTATCTTGTCTTTAATGTATGACATAATTTCTTGTATCAACTTTCATATCTGGGCTCTTTCTTTAAATATCAGATTTTTTGCTTGACGACAAGTTTGGCTTAGTTTGTAGTTGCCCTACTTGCTGGTCCAGCGGTCGCGGGTTCGAGTCCCGCTGGGGCATTCATTTGTGTGATGAACACGAATATTTGTACTCCAGTCGTAGGTGTTTATTTCTACAACATATACGTATTGAAAGTTATATATTTGTAGTGTAATTGTAGTGTATCAACTGTCTTGTATCCATAACACAAGACTCATAGCTTACCATGGAACTAGATGGTGATGCGTGTTAATGTTCCAACATAAAATTTTCAATATAAAAATATAGTACATTGGGTATTGCTACTATTGCTACTGATTTTAAGGTTCATTTCATACGTAACTTTGTAAGTAAGCAGTTTTATTCCATGTATACTGATTATGCCGTGCAAATACTAACATACAGTTTATTTTTTATCGACATATGTATGTAGATGCTAAGAAAGCGAGTCGATGAGTATGAATAGCTGTGAATAAATTAAAATTGTCAAGGGGTCAAAATAATATATAAAATATAAATACATAAAAAATCAGACTATATTATTTGTTTGCTTAGAACCAAATATGTATGCCTATATTCCCTCAACACCGCGGGCACCCCGGTGTTACAGTTAACAATGATTTTTTTGGAAAATAATTTCTTAGAAGTTTACCTGGAGGAGATATTATGTGCTGGAGTTCGCTGTAATACGCGCTACCACTAAAAAATTTGGGTAAACGGTGTATTCAATAGACATACTTAAATATTAAAGATACAAGCGGAACTATGGGAAGACCTTATATTTAATAATAATTTGATAAACATATATGACGAGTAAATGTATATTATAGCATCCTTTAAACGGCTCCTACATGTCTGTCCATTCTACAATACTATAAAAGGAAATGAGAAAAACAACTACACACACAAATATCAAATATTACGTCATATCCAATTTAGAAGTGGACACAGTGTTATAAGCTTAGAAGCTAATAAAAGAAAATGAAATGAACTTTTCCACACCGTTATATAGAAATAACATAAAACTTAACTGCAATGTTCGAAAACAATGAAGAGATAGAATCAAAGTGTTCTACAAAAATATATTAAATTTAAGGACTCTATTAATTATTTTACTTATACTTTTACAAATGAAAAATGAAAAATTTTTTATGTTGCTTAGTAAGTTGTTTTTAAATAATAGCAAACTAAATTAAAATTATAATCCTTAATTAATTTTAACTTTTTAAATTACACATTGAAAAATTATATGGCTTAAATAATTAATACTATATTTTATATTTTTCTTTATGGTTATAAATATAATAATGGCAACACTAATTATAGATTACTAATTAATATTTTTAAAATTGTAATAATTATAAAAATAATAGCAAAAATTAAATAAATAATTTTCCATATTCAATTATAATTAAAATTATAAAAATGTTTAAAGTTAAAATATTGTAATGTAATTGGTGCAATTTTCATTTTGTTGATTGTGGGTAGGCTGTCTGTAACAACTATATCTTTAAGACATGTAACACCTCAGTCTCTCCCGTGACCATGGATGCTGTAAAGCATTCGAAACGTCGGGAACCAAAAATTAAAATAAATCCGCGAAATAATCCGAAAAGATAGTTTTATTTAATAATGTCAAATATTCGCGTAAATCTAAGAAAGTATTAAAATTGTAACCAAGTCGAATCTGTACATTAAATATTTTTTGGAAAATCTTATGGAAATCGACATTATTATCGATACAGAGTCCGAATCTACAGTTTTTAGAATTTTTGTCTGTCTGTCTGTCTGTCTTTAACAGACGTTACCGCATCACGAGAAAACCACTGGACAGATTTTGATGAAATTTGGTATGATGATAGCTGGTAATTCGGGTCAACATATAGGATACTTTACACCGCGGTAAAATCTGAACGCGGGCGGAGCCGCGGGCAATGCTAGTATTTTAATATAAATATTCCTAAAAGTTAAAATTTTACATCACTACTATATTGCTTCTAAAAGAGGTCAATCTGTAACTGCGTTCATATAATGGGCAATAAATTTAATAGTTTACAGTTGACAATTTCAACTTGTTAGTTCCTGTGTTGGCAGTTTCGATAATTCCGGGCACGTATTTATTATGTAAGTTCCGATAGCAAACTGCAATATATACTTATTATGTACAATACTTAATATTACAGATGTTCATGTTACATTTAATATATCTCGAAAGTCTTTAATGGAAAGAAGCATGTGCTTAATCTTATTTTGAAAAAAAAATATGAAGCAATTTTACAAAATACTTAAAAAGCGTTTTGTAGCCATAAGATATTAGATTTTGACCGTCCCTTAAAATAGCGGGCTATTAATGTTTAACTGAGCGGGATTCAAACTTACGAACCTCTGTACGAACATCGTAACATTAGCCAGTAAGTTTAGTATAAGCGTATTTTCTAAAGTGACTTTAATTTATGCAATCCACACGCTATGCTTCGTTCAAATATAACAGACTAATATTACGAATGCGAAAATTTGTATATTGTGTGTGTGTATGTCTGTTTGTTACTCCTTGATGTTAAAACGGCTGAACCAATTTGAATAAAATTCACTAGACTATGACACTGAAGCAACATATAGGCGTAAAGTACCTAAAACGCACCCGAGCAAAGCAAGGGTAACTCTAAACTCACTAAAAATAGTGCACATACGTGATAATAAAAACTGAAAATCTCTACCATCATTTTATTTGAGCTTATAAAAATTTCGTTTCATAAAAATGACTGAGATATTACCCATAAAACATATGGTTTCAAACTTTTTCAACAAACAACGATATTGTAGTCACAATGTCCATTTTTACAAGTCTATAACGGATTAACGACATAAGTCCACTAATATTTTATTACCATAGTAAATTATCTTAATACTACAAAATCTTATTCGTACAAATCTTTCTATTTGCTTAAAGAAATTCTTTTTTTACTAAAACAAATTTGTTTTAGTAATTATGAATATATAAAATAACTAGCGACTCACCCTCGCTCCGCTCGGGTTCGTCCATATGCACGTTTTGATGGTTAGTATAGATTTCTTACAGATGAGATACTTTTCTCGCAGTAAAAAGTATCCTACATGTTGACCCGGACACTCAGCTATTGTAATACCAAATTTCATCAAAATCTGTCTAGTGGTTTTCTCGTGATGCGTTCCCAGACAGACAGACAGAAAGACACAAATTGTAAAAACTATCGATTTGGCCTCTGTATCGATAATAATGACTATTTCAATAAGATTTTCTAAAAAATATTTTATGTACAGATTCGACTCAGAATTTTATTATATGTATAGATGAATATTACACCTTTTATATACTAAGCCACCTAATATAAAAAATCCTAAATAAAAGAAATGCATTATTTCTTTTATAATAAATATATTTCGGCAACTATACGGATCATTTGAAAAATAATAATATATTCACATAATAACATAAAGAACCTTTACTAAATCTGTCAGTTAGGGTTTTTTCCTGAAACAAATTAATTAATTAAAGCATTAGAGAGTTAATAACTTAATTTTTCGGTATTTGTACACTAATTCTCATCTTCTTAATATAAGTATTTATTGAAAATATTTAAAAAAAAAATATCTTTGCACTTTATAGTTAATATTAGCATTGCCCGCGGCTCCGCCCGCGTTCAGGTGGCCAAAAACCAAATTCTTAGGTTTTACATATTAGTACATTGCAGTTTTTGTATTTTTTCTCAGAAATGATATATTTTCCCGCGGTAAAAAGTATCCTATATGTTGACCCGGATAACCAGCTATCACCATAGTAAATTTCATCAAAATCTATCCAGTGGTTTTCTCGTGATGGGGTTACAGACAGATAGAAAGACAGACAAAAATTCTAAAAACTATAGATTCGGACTCTGTATCGATAATAATGTCTATTTTAATTAGATTTTTCAAAAAATATTTAATGTACAGATTCGACTTAGTTACAATTTAATTATATGTATAGATATAGGTAATAATAATAGTTTTATTTTTTATCACTTAGCAAGTCAGGAGTTACTTATCCTATCTTCTTCAAAATAGATGAGAGAATGCAAATAAGAAGTAAATTAAATAATAGAAGAAGAATAAATGTATGTATATTTTAGTATGTGATGTTAATGCTTACTTAATAGTACAGACTTTCGGGTCCATAGATAGCAGGAAGCTGTTAAGGCTGTTCTCACAGTTGCTATACGCCATCCCGAAGCCGAGACCGCCACCTATGTACATCGGCCATTTCTTGTAGCCACGTAGGAAGAAGCCGCCCAACATGCTGCCTATTAAGAGGCCAGTTCCTATAAAATATGGAGTTAAAGTAAATCCTATCTCCTTTCTAAAGTCGCAAACTATTTTCTTACCCAATTTCATTTAAATCGGTTCAGTAGATCCAGAGATTACCCCCTACATCTTCACAAACTCACAAATTTTACCTCTTTATAATATTAGTATAGATATGGTTATATATTTTATTAGTCATTATGTCAATTTATTTCTAAGCATTATTATATCGTCAGAGAATGTATTTTAGATTTGAACACAATTCAATTTTTCTATATTCATTAAGAAAAAATAAGCTGATAGTACAATTATTTCACAAATATGTCAACAATTTACCAATTTTTAGACCAAAATCCACAAAACAGGCTGAATATCTTTCCTCAAAATCTCGTTGATCTTGTTTAAGCATTTCTTATTGCAACTTATAGATTTTTTACTCTCGAAGACATTTTTGACATCAACAGATTTGACATTCTGTTTGGCCAAAATATTTCTATATAAGAACTTATTCAAAATTAGGTATGTGAAAAATGCTATATAGATATAAAACTTAATAGAGTTAGCAGTTTTGTGACCCAAATTTTATTTGTTTATTAATAAGCTTTCTTTTAACGACAATGAAAATAACTTACATATAAGCCACTTTTTCCACAGTTTTAGCTTTTTCGACTTTCTCAGTGTGATTCCCGTTAATAATTAACATTATCTAATGGAATTTGTATATATTTATATTTAATATTATTAAAATTTTATAGAATTTACTTAAAATTTAATATATGTATTTATAAATGAAGAAATATAAAATTTATGACTCTATGACCTCATAATATTTGTGAAGTTCATAATTTGTGTAATTTGATATTTCATGAGTAATCAGTGAGTCAGTGAGTTATTTCGTTTCCTTATAAGCTCATTTCAATTAATTGGGAGTGAATTGAAACTATCACAGATTAAGCTACTGGGGCTTAAACAGATTACTGGCTTTGACACTAAGTAATAACGTCATTAATTTAGATAATTAATAATTTCAGTCAATTGCTCAACTTTCTATGCTCGATTAAGTTTAAATTGATTTGGTATCGATTACGAAATAAGAGTGGAAAAAATATATTTATATTTTTCCTTAGTATATAACATTAAATATATAATGTCAACGATTTTTATAAAAATCTAATAGTGTACTCAAATCTAGACTTTTTATTCGTGTGTAATAAATAAATAATAAAATAAAAATAGCCTTTATTTCCTCTGACCTTTCTATATACATAGAAATTTAAAGATATTTAAACTACATTTTTTTTAACTAATTTGTTCTTAATATATATCTTATATATATAACGTAACATACACACGAATATATATATATATATATATATATATATATATATGTCAACATATAGGATTCTTTTTATTGCGGGAAAATATCTCATCTCTGAGATATCTATACTATAACTAGGGACGAACCCGAGCGGAGCGGGGGTGAGTCGCTAGTCTATATATAAATAGGCAAAGATATATTTATAGTATCCATTACTAATTAGGAAGTTTGTTTAAATAATAATCATTCGTTCTCCTCACATATGAACATTTTTATGTAATAAACTACGTAATTATGTTAGAATTTGGAACAGAGGTTATTAGGCCTACAGATTCTAATCCTTTGTCTATCACTCGCTCAGTCTAGATCGATTTGTGTTAAATTGCCGTACGTCTGCTTAGTTAGTGGCATTAGAGAAGGCTAGTTGAAGGCAAATTAGTTAGTAATTGGGAAGTGATTTCTCTGCATGTGAATGCTCAGAATATTGACGTTACAAGAATATTATCAAAGGTAAGCTGCTGCATTTAAGCTCTATTTACACATACATACATATAGCACCCGGGCGACCCAGCTTCGCTTGGTGTTTTTCAGGGAAGATTTAGAAATTAGTTAATTATTAGTTATTTAGATTTAGACTTCAGGTTTTCTGACGATGTTTTCCTACATAAACATATCAGAGGTGCGTGAGCATCACTTGGGATTCGAACCCACTTCACTTTATTTTCCAAGCAAACGTGTTAACACTGGGCTACCACTGCCTAAATAAGGAACGAGGCATTAAAAAGCACCCCTTATTATCTTTCAGATTAAGATCCTTAGAATATAATTCGTTCTAGCCTCCGGCTATATATTAACATTATGAGTTTGATGCATTAGTGGATTTTAAGTCTTCAATTTGTAAAAGACCCTATGTATTTGAATTGAAGACCTCTAATAACTTAAGTGGTGTTATTGAAGTTAAGTAATATAATTTTCTTCTATAAAGACTTAAAAACATAATCGTAATTTACAAATACATACAAATATTATGTAATTTTTATGACAATTTTCATTGTGAACTGATGTTTTCTTCATCTCTGAATAAAAAAAAAAAGTATTACATTGAAGTATGAAAAAAATATATTACACAAAGTATTTTACGAGCAAAAACAGTATAAATATTAGACAAGCCTTTGCTTGTGGATCCGCATGCATGGCAGGCGCATTGTTAAATCTGTGTAAATTTTAAAGCTAGCCTATATTCTTTAATTTGAAGAGTGAGAGTGTGTGTGAGTTTTGGAGAAATAACAAACATACTCATACATTATCGCATTAATAATATTTATTCTAAGTATTACAAAACAAATATTTACTAATGAATTAATACCTATTTATTTGAGTTAACGCAATGTTTCTAAAGTTCTTAGCGTTAGGGGAATTCCCCTACAAACTAGTAGGTCCGAGTCAAAGCATGGTATACATGAAAGGATACCTGACCCTAATTACTGTAACAATTTATAATTTTTTAAATTGCATTTTATTTAGATTATTAAGTATATTGCATATTCAGAACTTATTTCTGATGCTACTTCTGACATTAAAACTGTAAAACGGTTTTTTTTTAAATTCAATATATCTTATAGAAATTTGTATATCTTAAAGAAAGTTTGTAAGTAATACCAGTGACAGAGTAGCTAAGGAATATTAAGTTAGCGTGGTGTGGAAATATTACGATGAAGGAAGACAGTTTAAGTCAGAGGATATTAGATATGAATGTGGATGGACATAGAAGTGGGTGAGAATGGAGAAATGTATGGATAGACTGTGTGTTTGCCATATGTGTGTCAAAGTTGCGTGTGCGCAGATGACGCCTGATAGATGGAAATGATAGAACATGTTGTGCCAATCCTACGTAATGTGGGATAAGTATAACGAGAAGAAAAAGTTAAAAGATATGTATTTGTTAATACAAAAGAGATGTGATATTTTACTAACATTTAAAAAAGAGTAGGTCTCCAATTTTTTTATGATTAGAACAAAGAAATAAGTTAGTAAGGTTAGTTAGGTTATTTTTGGTTAGTTTTAAGGTGAATCTGAATTCTGCATAACTTTTTATAAGAAGTAATTAATTACTAATATAACACAAAGTAAACATGAAGAGACATATCATCTACCTATATCCTAAGTTACAACTTATAACATCAGCTATCTGCCAGTGAAAATCCCGTCAATATCGGTCCAGCCATTTTGGACATTAGCCGGAACAAACAGACAGACAGATAAACGAAAATTTTAAAATAAGTTTTTTTTTATAATTACAGTTATATACTTTCATATATATTCATCAAAAAGCAGTTATTTTGACATTACAAATAGACACTTCAATTTTGTTCATTTGTATAGATATCTTGCATTTATAAGATTTATCACGTTATCTCATAGGATTACAAATGGCTTGATCTAGTTTACGACGTCGCCAGTTCAGGCACGTTTTATAGTTGTCTTAATTTTATGACATCTGATTAGTTCCTGGCTTTGTCGTTGATATTAGAACTGTTGCTTGTAAAAGTAAGCCGAATGAAATATAGAGGGAGCTTTATGACGAATAATAATATATTATGATTTGATATGATATTAATAAAATAGCAACTGTATGTGTATTTAGTATACATTGTATGTTTTATAACATTGTGGGTTTTTGAGACAAGTTTTAGGGTGTCAAAATAAAGTTTTATGCAAGTTTATAGCTGACTATCTCAAATTCCGAAGTGAAACACCTAATAAGACTGTACTAAAATCCGCGAAAAATTAAAAAAAGATAGTTTTATTGTAAAATGTTAAATATTCGCGTAAATCTAAGAAAATATAAAAAAATATATGTATGAGTTACTCCAGACCATAGCCTATCTATGAACTAAATTTTCTTCAAATTCGTCAAGATGTTTCTGCGCGAAAGTGTAACAAACAAACATACAAACTTTCTATAATAGTAGTAACATTAAATGCCTATCACCGGATCTGTCATAATAAATGGTTATATCAAAAGCAGCGCCCTAACGCGACACGGTTTAATTAAATTAATTGTTAGCAGTTGCGATATAAATGACCAGCTATGAAATGCACGAAAAAACGTAGATATTAAAAGATAAAAACAATTAAGCACTTCCGTCTAAGCGATGGTGAAATTGTGTGGATTTGAGATGTAATAGGTTATATAATTGTTTTTTTAACCGACTTCGCAAAAGGAAGAGGTTCTCCATTCGTCGGAATCTTTTTTTTTCACTTTCGAGTAATCACTGGGAGACGCCTGAACCGATTTGGAAAATTATTTTTTTGTTTCAAAGCCTACTTCCCAGGTCCCATTTATATTATTAAAAAATTGTCTGATTAGGTATCTATTCTAAATTATCACTATGATATACAAGTATTTAAATAATGATATATAAAAAAAATCAAGGATTTTTTATTCAGTTTCTTTTTTTCATCAATTTAAACGTACCAATGGATGACAATTTATTTCACCAAAGCCACTTAGTATAGAGAGGATACGTTACATATTATACCAACATATGTATGTACATTACATATTATAGATAAACTATTTTATTTACCACAGGCTGCAATTTATATCCTTGCTAAATTCTATCGAAATCTGTTCAACAATTAAAGTGTAAAAAAGAAACAGTTAGAGACTTTCACGTTTTATATTATATATAAATATATTATATGAAATATATTATATATAATTATATTAATACATATTAATATGGGTTTTCTTAACATTCATTATATAAAATACGTTATAAATACATTTTATATCTTAAAGGAAACTTATTAATTGCTCATATATCTTATATTATATAAGCCCCGAATTAATTCTGTCAAAGAAAAAGTAAATAATGGACGCAGTAAAAAATGTGGGGAAGAACACTTGTTTCGTTTGTAGTTATTTGCATAATATTAACATCGAGTATGTGCAGTACATTCCATGTGATAGTTCACACACCAATTGAAATCAAATTTGAATAATTAAGTGATATTAGAACAGTTGTTGTCCATTGTCTATAATTCGCATTGCTTTCTATGCCAAAAGTAGTTGATTTTCTTCTGTA